TTTAGGTTTCCATCAGAGAGAGTGCATTCTCCGATCATTCACTTTGTCCGACAAAGGGGCTGATTTTGTCACTATGATCACCCACTCAGGTGAATTCTCAGACTGCCCCAACATACTCAGGTTTTGACCCCCGCTAAGGATCTCACTGATTGGCATATCAAAGACAGCCCAATCCAACACCTAGTGAAGTACCATAATCGAGTCTAAGGCTCATGTGTAACTTTCCAGTTTTGCCCATCTGTCTCCAATGTCCAGGGCATAACTGGAAAATGGTCCGGTTCAGAGTTTCAATCAAACCCACACTACATGTGCTTTGGGTCTTACCCTGGCAGCTGAGACAAGCCACCCCAACCTTCTTGGCAGTACACTAGTGTTAGCCTTGGATATACCTCCCCAGGTTTATCCATCGGCTGTGAAGATTCTAAACTAACACGAGTCTCATAAGTGTCCAATTTAAGGGTATTACACAGGAACACACCATAATAACATGAATCAATTATGCACTTTATTCATTTACAATAAATGTCAATAACATCAATCTGATTGGAGCTAAGGGTTGTCTAACACCCTCTACAGCCGACTCTAACATATATAAAAGAAAATTCTTGTCCGGCCCCTCTCTTCACTTTTGTGCTGTACTGGCATGGCATGCTAAAGTGTAGGCAGCACAACCAAAGTGGGCTGTGCTGGCCCGGGTTACGCCTAAAGCTGTTGGTCCATTGCCATTATGGTCATCCTACTACCTAATGATTGCCTTGGATTTACTGTATGGCCTACTACTATTTTAGTTCTGGAATATATGCCAACAAGTGGATGTGCACATCCTGATTCCTTCTGAAGCTTCCCATGAATTTGTTTGTGTTTATCCTGCATCTTTTATTACTTTGCAGTATTTGATAGATGCCCTTATCTTATTTCTTAATTCTTTTTTTTTTCTTGAAATCTGTATACTTTTTCTCTATTATTTTTGCTCCAAAGCTTTTTTCTTTATTTTATACTTTATGGTATGCTTATGGTATTTGAATTCCATATGACTATCAAGTATCAGATAGAGAGAATTATGGGGCAAAAAAAAAAAAAAAAGAATAGAAAAAAGTAGCACTTACGAATCACTTTGTGATGTTTAGGTTGCTGCTGCATGTGCACTTGCTGCACACAAGTTACGATGTCCTGTCCGAATTTACCTCAACCGCAAGACTGATATGATAATGGCAGGAGGACGACATCCTATGAAAATAAACTACAGTGTGGGATTCAAATCCAATGGGAAGATCACAGCCCTACACCTTGATATATTAATTAATGCTGGTATATCTGAAGATATCAGCCCAGTCATGCCACACAACATGTTGGGAGCATTGAAGAAGTATAATTGGGGAACTTTGTCTTTTGATATAAAGGTCTGTAAGACAAACCACTCAAGTAAGTCAGCAATGCGGGCTCCTGGTGAGGTACAAGCATCATTTATTGCTGAGGCTGTGATTGAGCATGTGGCATCTTTTCTTTCCATGGATGTCAATACTGTCAGGAACAAGAATGTTCACACATTTGAGAGCCTCAAGTTATTCTATGAAAATAGTGCTGGGGAGAGTTTTGAGTACAATTTGATTTCAGTTTTGGATAAATTGACTGCATCTTCAAATTTCCACCGAAGGGATGCAGAAATAAGGCAGTTCAATAGTTGCAGCAAATGGAAGAAAAGGGGAATTTCACTAGTTCCAATTGTGCATGAAGTGACAACGAGGCCAACCCCAGGGAAAGTAAGCATTCTCCCTGATGGGTCAGTAGTTGTTGAAGTTGGAGGGATTGAACTGGGCCAGGGGCTCTGGACAAAGGTGAAGCAGATGGCTGCATTTGCTCTCAGTTTAGTACATTGTGATGGAAGCAGAGACCTCTTGGATAGGGTGCGTGTTATCCAGGCAGACACCTTGAGCTTAGTGCAAGGGGGCTTTACTTCTGGGAGCACCACGTCAGAGACAAGCTGTGAAGCAGTTCGCCTTTGCTGCAATGTGTTGGTAGAAAGATTAATCCCTCTCAAGGAAAGGTTACAGAAGCAGATGGGAACAGTTTCGTGGGATATGTTAATTCTCCAGGTAATTTTGCATTTGAAATTGTTTTTCTGGATATTCTCATGTCTTGATGAACATGAAAAAGGTGTTAATCTATGTTACCAATGCACACATTCAGGGTAATCTGTTAGCATGATTTGGTTGGCTCAACCTAGGGCATCAAATGATTTCAATCATTTAATTCATGCATTTGATGGCCAAGTTATCTGTTATCTCATGTAAGTGGGATCCACTTACAACCTTGATTTGTGCAATTGTGCTGAATGCTTACAGTCATCTGATATAGTAAGGGGGGTGTACCAACAACCTTATGATTAACATATCAAAACAAGTTTCTGCCTTTCTCTCCTTTTGAGGGCTGCTAGTTTGTAATTTCTTCAATGACTGGTATTCATAAGAACTTGTTTTGATCATAAGGAAATATTACCTAAACCTGAATTACAAGGCAGCACAAACTATGCTAGTCCAAAAATATTAAATGTGGCATTGTGATTGCCATTTGTCATATCCAGATGTTGATATGTTAATCATAAGAACAAAAATTTCTACGATTATGCATGACCATAGTTTTCAAGGTGCCAAGGCGAGGCTGGGTGACTGGGGGCGCCTTGTTGCCTAGTCGCCTAGGCGATGGATTTTTTTAATGTTAAAAACATAGATCCTAGGGTAGTTCCCTAGGTACCATATCCATATTTCTTTAATAATTATTCATGATTTTCATAAGAAAAGTATAAATTTCATATTAAAGTATAGAAAATCAACATATTCATGAGAAGAAAAGGAAGAAGGAAAATAAAATTCGAAAAATATAGGGGCTGAACCCTTATTTTTGTTATAGGAAAGGAAGAAAATAAAAAGTATTGGTCATAGTAGTAGTAGAAGAAGAATATATGGAAGAGGAAAATGTGCTGATTAGATAAAATTTTAAGTTCTTCCTTACTTATTGGTTCAGGTTTTTAAGTCTTTGAGGGTTCAATACAGCATTTAGCAATGTTTGTGTTGATTAAACCCTAATAAATAAGAAAATAATAAAAAGAAATTAGTATATAAACACACAAAATGATTATTTTAGTTTAATAATGTCTATTTTATAATTATAATCTCAAAAAAGAATGAATAAAAAAGCATTTTATAGTAGGAAGTGGAAAACTTCCTGGCAATTAGGCAAGGCGAAACTCAAAGGGCGCCTTGTCGCCTAGGCGCCGCCTTGACAACTATGTGCACGACATAAAAATTGTAGTATTCCACAAAATGACAGGAAAAATCACTAGAATAATTACTCCCTTAAAGAAGATTCTATAGAGCTTAAATCAGAAATCAAATGCCAAGAAAGATTCAAAATGACAATCATAACAAAGACGGGGACCAAATCGTGTTCTAAAAGTTTCCAAAAACCGACAAATCGTGGACTGAAACTGAACAGAGCAGTCATCAAGCCTCAATAGAGAAACAAAGAAAAACCACAGTATATTCCTGATAATGTCTTTACCAATCAAATTAACTAGATTTGGAGAATTAAAACTTACATGATTTCTAAATTTCCATGATTAAAAATGATAATTCCAGCCCCACTTGAAAGACTCCATATTATTTTAGTTTACCCCTAAAGATTAGTATGCCAAAACATAGTTCAGAAGGTCAAGAATTCCCTTGCCATCAACCAGCCTTAGACTAATTTACATTCACTTAAAACATATTTACAGGATTACAGCTTAGATACCCTTGACAGGGACTAAATAGTAAATAGAAATGAAAATAAATTGCTTATTAACAATTGTGCTACTATGTGACACATTACACTTACATGGTATGTAACATTACCCTTCATCTGTATTTCCTTCAAATTATTATATTGTAAGACATAATCATTCATAAAATTAAATTTTAGTTGGGGTAAATTGCTGAAACCTTGAAATTTCTGACAGTTGCTGAAACTTCCCCTGCTTTTTCCTAATAGCAGTCAACTCCCTTGAAGTTTCTGACTCCATTGCATATACACCTCTGTAATGTTGATCTTAAAATCATAACAGAAGATACTGATGTCACGCTCCAATGTTTTAAGATGTCAAGGTTGCCCTTAATTGATAAGATAGAGTTTTTTCTGACAAAAATACCCCCAACACAAAGGATCCATTCAGCGGAAGTTGCTGTTCACCGTCTACGTCTCACCTGGACATTGGACCAGATTCACTGCTCCTCTAAACTCTTCTCCTCTCTCTCTCTCTCTCTCTCCCCCTTTCTTTCCCCCACCTCTCCGTTTTCTTCACTCCTATTCATTGTCCCCAATCTCTCTGTCTATCTATCTCTACCTCTCTTTTCTTCTTTTTTGGCTGAAGTCACTAATACCAATAGGGATAGAACAGGCTTTGCTTGGATTAAAAAGTTAATTTATTAATAATTTCCAGTTTACCACCCAGAGACTGGATTTCCTTTTTCTCTTAAATGGAACCACTGAAATCTTTCAAGATCCCTAAAGCTCATTTTGGGCTTAGGGTATCTTCTTTTTTTATCCTTTTCTTGGTGTTTGCTTCTTACGGTGACCATACTAGATTCCACCACCAGCTCTCTTATGGTTATACTAAATAAAATTCTTTCCCTTGAGAAGCCAAGCTGATGTGCCCACTTCCTCCCATGGAAAATGGGAAAAAGGAAAACTTGTGCTTTAGAATTCAGGGAAAGAAGAGATGAATAGGGACAAGTATGATTGAAACCAACCAATTCAGGTTCTATCAATACACATTTCTGCAACTCAAAATCCAGAATGTCATAGCCTAGTCTTCTCGGTTTTTTTTTTCCTATAACCATCAAATGAATGACTAATTTACTCTTCTCAGGATAGAGAATATTGAAAGAATGGGAGGAAATAAAATTAAAAAACTGAAATAAGAAATATCTTTATGGGCTTTTACAGACATAGATCAACAAAGGAAAACTCCACTATGTCTTGGTCCTTCTGCATTGTCTTCTCCTCCAACCACAAGTAGCTGTTCAACCCACTTCTCGTCCTAAACATGATGACAACATATATAGAGTACAGCTTGAGGAACATCCCACATCATATAAACCAGCAACTCATCAACAAAGATGGTCTGGGGGGAAAAGTACGGTCCGAACAGGATAGTATTGTATCTCTCTAACCTGTCGATCCAAGTATACATTAAGATTTAAACTAATGTAAAATTACAAAGATACCCCTGTTTACATAAGGGGAGAATAGGAGACTGAATAAAGACCAAAAGGGCCCTTACATAATAGACTTTAACAGTCCCCCTCATTCTGGAGCATATACATCCTAAAGCTCCAGCTTGTAATAAATATAATCCATCCTTGTTTGATTCAAACTCTTGGTGAATAGGGGAGGTTTCAGCAATAAGTAGGGCAAGTTTCAGCAACTGTGAAACTTCAGGGGAGGTTTCAGCAATTTACCCTTTAGTTATTATGCAATTTTCTTATCTAAATTTTTATGGGAGCATTTTATAATTTGTTTTTAATTTTTGAAAGCAACATTAAGTAAACATTTCTACCAATAAAAAGGAAAAGGAAGTTGGCTTCCATATATTGGCCTTTGATATTTTATACATTTGATTTGCGCCAAAAAATGGATTAAAGATCAATAACAAAATTTTCCTCAATATATTATTCTGAAATATAGGTGCCATTACATGGTCTAATGGTAAAATCTTTGACTGGCATGCATTTGATTTGTGTGAAACAAATGCCAAATCTTAGCACCATATCCAGTCTACTGCTCCCAAGACCTCAGATAGCTAGAACTGACATTGGGTAATGACCGTTTATATTGTTCTGAAATATTCAAGAAATCCTGTTCAATTATCTATAGAAGGCTTAATTTTCTCATAATGTTTTGACTTCTTTGCAATATGTTACTTTAAATTTCACAGATACGTTTCTGCAGTCATGTAATTATGAAAATTCTTTTGAAAGATGGCTTAAAAGCTGTTTCAGTGATTTCTCTTTTGGAAAATTTCAAGAAAATTTCATTTTATGGACACACTAGTCTTTCTCTTATATGATCTTTTTATTTTGAATTTCTAGGCAAATCTTCAAGCTGTTAATTTATCTGCAAGTTCTTACTATGTCCCTGAATTTGCATCAATGAAGTATCTAAATTATGGTGCTGCAGTAAGTGAGGTGAGTTAATTGGTTCATTTCTTGTTTCCATTTAGGAATTAACTTGCACCTGTTAATAAGATGGTGAACTTGATAATATTATCTAGTTCTGCCATACAGAAGAAAAATAAGCTATTGTATGTGCCCAGTGAATTTCATGGGAGAAAAATAAAGTGCAACCTATAAAACTTCATTTCTTTCTAACCATAGTTTTCAAGGTGCCAAGATGAGGAGGCTAGGCGACAGGGGGACACCTGGTCGCCTAGTCACCTAGGTGGGCGCCTAGGCGATGGATTTTTTTATGTTGAAAACATAGATCCTAGGGTAGTTCCCTAGGTACCATAACCATATTTCATTAATAATTATTCATAATTTTCATAAGAAAAGTATACGTTCATATTAAAGTATAGAAAATCAACATATTGATGAGAAGAAAAAGAAGAAGGAAAATAAAATTCAAAATATATAGGGACTGAACCCTTATTTTTGTTATAGGAAAAGAAGAAAAGAAAAAGTATTAGTAGTAGTAGTAGTAGTAGTAGATGTTGATTAAACCTTAATCTCAAAAAAGAATGAATAAAAATGTATTTTATAGTAGGAAGTAAAAAACTGCTTGGCGATTAGGCGAGGCAAGCCTCAAAGGGCACCTTGTTGCCTAGGCGCCCGCCTAGGCGTTGCCTTGACAACTATGTTTCTAAAGAAGAAGTAGATGAAGAAGAAGAAGTAGATGTTGATTAAACCCTAATCTCAAAAAAGAATGAATAAACAAGTATTTTATAGTAGGAAGTAAAAAACTGCTTGGCGATTAGGCGAGGCAAGCCTCAAAGGGCGCCTTGTCGCCTAGGTGCCTGCCTAGGCGTTGCCTTGACAACTATGTTTCTAACGTAAAGATACTTTAGAAAACAGGTTTCAGAGACTCCTTTGTCAATGTTGAAGCATGGAAAACTAAAATTAACATGAAAAAAAAGATAGAACACAAAGATTTAATATGGGTGTGGTAGTCTACATCCCACGAAAGAAAAAGGAAATTATGCACTATGAGGTTAAGAAATAAATTCAGCTCAATGTTTGACATGAAAATTTGAATTTCTATATTTTCAAAGCCGAGCAGCTCTTAAGTTGTTAATTTCAGCAATCTCACATCAGGAGTTATTATGTAAGTTGAGAGATTTCAGCAGTAGAAGAAGGGAGAAGAAGAAGGAAGAGAAGGAATGAGAAGAAGGGGTTCTGAATAGTCCCCAATCTCTTTTATAGTTTATGATATAATGGCAAAGGCTGCCCCTCATAAGGCAGCAATAGTGATAACTATGATAAATTGATAAGTGGGCCTTCCCATATGGAAAACCCATAACACAAACAAAGAAAGAGAACAAAACAGCCCACTTTTCACTCTTTTCTATGCTCTCCCTCAAGCTGAGCATAGATGTCAATCATGGTCGGACTGCACTACCACTGTTCTTTTTTTTTTTGATGAATTACTGTGCTACCACTGTTGGAGAGCTTCTATTAGCAAGCTCCCTTCTTCCTTGTGCTTGTGGTGCCTTCCAAAGCCCCTAAACCTTCCAAATTAGCTCACGTTCAAACCTAGACAAGATCACAGAACCTGGACTGATCATACAGATCTTTTCTTTTATTATTCATTAATCTCAACTATTTTCAGATTAGATCACAGAATCAAACTGCTTAGCGAGTGTGAAGAAGAAAATGATTATAACAGAACACCTTTCGAAAGTTAACATCGTAGGTCTTGGTCGAAATAGGATCACCAATTAAAAATGCAGTCTGGCACCAAAATATGGAGTCCAAACTGGGTTCCTAAGCTGTTCACACTGTAGATATGAACATGAGCCCTGGATGATCTCAAAGAGCACAAGAGATGACAAGGAATCTACAGCCCCTTTCCCAGGTACTTAACAGAGAGAAACTTCTAGAAGATCAGAATCTTCTTATCAAGCTTCCATATATCAGCAGATCTGAGTATTGAGTATTTCAGCCCCTTAAACAGATGATAAATCCCATGAAAAATATGTAAGATACTTTAAAATCTACTCTTCATTGAATAGTAGAACAAGCCCTCTTCATCCTTGCACAAATGTGAACCCTTGAGTATCCTTGCTATCGATGAAGACTGTTAGAGGTGAGTACCAGCAAACAGATATTGATAACTGAAAATTTGAGGGAGAGAGAGAGAGAGTAGTTTGTTAAAGTCTAGCACCAGGGTCATTTCTATCTCTTCCTTATTTTTAATCTATTTGGTGTATATAACTTGTGGAGGGCATTTTTATAATTTCTATTCTTATTATAAGTCCAACACTTGGTCGACAAGAGGGAAAAGTTCAGTTTTTGAATCTTCTCTCTTGATTAACTCTTTTCTCTTACTTTTCTTCTTCTTCTTCTCCTCTCTAGCTTCAACTTTGACTGAACTAATTTCCTCTCCTTTTTCTTCTTCTACACATTTTTGTCTTTTCTTTTTAGTTTACATATGGTAAGCTGTAGATTCGCAGTTACTGTTCGCACTCTGTTTTTTGCATCCTAAGAATAGAGGACACTCTCTATTCACTACAGAAAGGAAAATGGCACTAAAAGGACTGGTTGTCCTTTAGAAAAGGAGGCTTTAATGCCTCCAGTGGTGACTGTTATGTCGTTTTGTGTGGTTTTCTTTCATCATTGTCGTAGCCCTAAGAGGGACATTTATGGTGGATGACTGATGTGGCGGGTTTGTGACAGTGTTTGGTGTGTGGAAAATATGTGTTGTGGTGTGGTGACAGTATAAATGAGTGAAGTGGTTGGTGCTCCAAGTAGGTGATTGTGTGGCTTCTTGCCTTGTTCCTGTGTTTAAATCTAGTGTAGCAAGTTGGTGCTCTCTTTCTTTTGTGGGTGATTGTAATTTTCTTTGCTTGCTGGTTGTGTTCTTTCTCTATGGCTTCTTCTACTAGTAGCTCTAAATTGATTGTGGTAGTGCAAACAGATATAATGAATACTCAGTTGACCATTGTAAAGCCTAATGGCATGAGCTATGTACCATGGCCAAATCTATGGAAATTTCCTTGATTGTACGGGGCAAACTGAAATATATCTGGGAAGACCAACCAAAGAGTGGGTCTAAAGGGTAATGAATTGGTGCAAGAAAATGCCCAAATTATGATTTCATTGTGGAATGGCATGAAAACCCATGTAAGTGTTAATCTTATGTTTCTAGATACTGCAAAGGAAATCTAGAGCATGCTATGCTACTGTATTTAGGATAGGACAATGTAACAAGAATTTATCAATTACACCAAGATTACTTTACCCTTCAATATGGAGATAAGAGTGTGGAGGAATACTATGCTACCTTGAAGAGCCTGAGAAATGAACTAAATGTTTATCAACCCCTTTTCTGCAGATCTAAAGGTTCAACAAGAATAGAGGGAACGATTGGATGTTGCTAGATTTCTATTAGGGTTTAGATATGAATTTGAGCCAATAGGAGCTCAAATATTGGGGAGTAGTAACCTTCCTTCACTTTCTAAGGTATTCTCTCGCATAAGGAGAGAATCCATCCCACATAGTGAGCATACTACCATTCCAAAGAGATCAGCACTGGCTGTTACCCAAGGTGGTGCTGGTTGTTGAGGTGTTCATGGAAGAAGTGTGACTAGAGGAACTAGTCATGCTGTGGGCAGAGAAGAAAGAGGTAGTGGAAAACATAGTAGTGGAGTGGTCAAGTCCGAGAGTGTTCCCATTGTGCTCGTGCAGGCCACACAATTAACTTTTGTTATGACTTTCATGGCCCTCCCTTTTCTTGGGCTAATCTTGCCTTGATAGAGGATGGCACATGCAACAATGTTCCCGCTGATGAATCACCTGCTTCAAGAGTTAGTAAGGATAACAAGTTGGTTTCCATCACCTATAAGGAGTATGAGAGATTTCTCCTATCCTCTTCCAGGACTACTGGTCTACTGCTACTTTTGCTCATTCAAGTACTTCTTGTCTTGCTTCTAGTTCACAAACTACACCTTATGTAATTGATTCTGGAGCTTAAGATCACATGACTGGAATTTCAAACTTGTTTATGTCTTTGTCCCCTCCTTCCACTTTGCACACTATAATCTTAGCTTATGGAACTTCCTCTTCTATTACAAGTGTTGGTAATGTGTCTCTTACTTCTGAGCTCCATTTAAATTCTGTGTTTTATGTACCTAAATTTCCATTCGGTCTTTTATCTATAAGTTGACTCAATCTCTTAATTGTTTTGTAACCTATCCCTCTTATTGTTCTGTAACCTTCTATCTGGATGGTAATGGTCTACAAAGGGCTCTTCATTCATCTCTCACTTCTCATCAGTGGCATTGTCGTTTGGATCACCCATCTCTTTGTACTTTGAAGTTGTTGGTCCCTAGTCTAGAGTTAGTTACTTAATTAGATTGTGAATCATGTCAGCTTAGTAAACATCACAGAGTTCATTTTGTTTCTAGAGAAGATAAAAGAGTCATGTGTCCTTTTGCAATTGTTCATTCAGATGTTTAGGTTCCCAGTTGCATATCATCATACAATGGTTTTAGATATTTTGTAGCGTTTATTGGTGATCTTTCAAGAATGACATGGATCTATTTATTGAAGGATCATTCAGAGTTTTTCTATTTTTTTCTTTTTCCATGCTGAAATAAGAAATAAATTTGTTGTATGTATTAAAGTTTTTCGTTCTAATAATGCAAAAGAGTATTTTCACAGCAGCTTTTAGTCTTTTCTTTAACACTCGATGTGATTATACATCAGTCTTCGTGTACGTATACACTTCAACAAAGTGGTGTACCAGAATGAAGGAACTGTCATGTTATAGAAGCTTCTCATGCTTTATTGATCTAGATGTCTATTTCTAAGATCTATTGGAGTGGTGTTGTTCTCACCTCTTGTTTCCTTATAAACCGCATGTGTTGTTCCCATCCGGTTCACCATTTTCTCTTCCTCAAGTTTTTGGGTGTGTTTGTTTTGTCCACAAGTTAGGTTCTGACCATGACAAACTCAATTCTTGAGCTATT